AAAAAAAAAAAAAAAAACAAAGCCCTGCAAATAGAAATAGAACAATTGTGGCAAAAGAAAGCAAAGATAGTACCAATAGTAATAGGCACCTTGGGTGCAATCCCAAAATATCTGGAGTACCACTTGAAGATCATTGACATTGACAAAATCATCAGTCAATTGCAAAAGACAGCTTTACTTGGAACAGCTTACATCCTGCGATGATACCTTTAACACCATCAAACAACAACATCTGCCTATCCGAGGTCCTTGGGAAGGACTCAATAGGTGGATAAAAATGCCAAATCCAGTCTAAACATCTGGCTGACTGTACGACCAACAGTAATAATGGGTTAGAAATAAGGTGTCCCAGAGTGTAGACAGAATATAATGTATTCCACAATTAGATGATTCTTCAGAACTTGTGTCTTCAGAACTATCAATGTTATAGTATGGGAATGTAATACATTTTTTTTAGTATGATAAAATTCAGCATCTTTTCAACTCTATAGATTCAACTTGTGCCACTTTCCAGTCATTATTGGCCTATTAGGCATCTTTTCTTATGAAGATGCAAAGCCTACAGTTTGCCAGACACTTCCAAATGAATGCTTCCTGCTGGGTTAGCAGAAGGCATGAGGGAGAGAAGGGACAAAGGGCAAGTAATGGCACTGGTGATGAAGCTATTATTACTGTTCATGGTTTATTATTTGCATCAGCTCTCAAGACGCAAGTTTGTAACTGTGTCATAGGTATGATGACATCATCACACATGTTGCCGTTTTGTCATCACCAGAGTTTGCTATGGATGCTAGTTGTTATGTGTGTTCTTCTGATTACATGAAGATAAACCATGTATGTTTGTTACTGATTTGATCCTCTGCTAGCTGCTAGTCTTAATTATTTTTCAGCAAAGGTAGTTTTGAAAGGTACAAATAATAATCATGTATTAGGAAACGTGTAAGTGAATTGACTAGAAGAAATATATTCCTAAAAGTTTAGCTATATGTTTTCTGTTTACAGCAGTTAAAACAATTTGATCTATTAGCAGTTTCTTTGTTCTTCCTCTTTTAGAAATTGTCTTGTCTAGGCTCTGTCTTTGGTTTTATCTATAAGTATCTGCCAGTATGTTCAGGAAGTTATATATGGATGTGTGTATGTATGATGTGTGAAATACAGAGAGCAAGAACTCATTTAAAATTATAGTATCAGCTTAAATAGATAAAATAATTAACAACCAATTAAAATCTGACTCTCTCATGAAGCCAGTTGATGAAAAATATATGGAAAGTTGCGCAACATTGTAGTTCACCATTTTGGAGTCAGCCTAATCTCTGGCAGCCTTCATAGCCTTCAATAAGCTATAGTTAAGTTTCTTGAGATATTGCTATTGCTTTTCTGTATAATACATAATGCTGTAGTAAGAACACTGCCATTCTGTTTCTTTAACTTTTTACTTTTTATTAAATATGCCCTTTTTACAAAGCATAAGAAGCTGTTAGATTAAAAATGACTTAAAAGATCAAATTAATAAATCCTGTATACATAATATAAAACCATAAAAAATAAAACAAAGGTGAGTCAATCAAAATCAAGATAAATTCTTGACTGGGTGAGGGGAGTGGGGGAACAGAAAGAGAACAAGCTCTACCAGCAACAATTAAGATCAGTTTAATGCAACTTGGTATGTAAATGTATCAGTGGGCTTAGAAGAATTTCTGAAATGGTGATGACTGAATGATGATGAATAACTGCAAATAATGAAAATTATCTAAGACCCAATTTCTTATTTCCCAGGTCCACTATGAATGGTGGCGCCGAATTCTGAAATACTTTTGGATGTCAGTTGTGGTTTACACTATGTTAGTGCTTGTTTTCATCTATACCTATCAGTTTAAAGCATTCCCTGACTTGTGGAAAAACATGACAAACATGAATGATGATCAGTGAGTATTGGTTACTCCATCTTTTAATTCAATTTATTTGGATCATGTATTTTGAGACACTAATATCAATCTAGATACCTTATGTCTTGGAACTGATCACGTTCAGGAATCTTAATGAAGTATTTTCAGGATTACAAATGAAAACCTGTTCCTTTAGGAGAACCAAATATTGAGCTTCTCTTTTGAAAATCATTTACCATACATTGTCCTATCTCTTCAACTTTAATCAACACATTTATTTATTTTTTCATGTACCTTTAGTTTTAATTCATTCCCTTCAGAACTCAAGTATGGAAGCATAGGGAGGCCAAATCAGTACTTATTCTTGTATGACTGGCTACGATATAACATTTAAACATTCTATTATTAATTAGTGCTTTAGATGGAAAATAGTTAAAGTTGTTTTCGTTCTAGAAAACATTCCAAAATAAATGGGAGAAATTAATTGATGACAGCATTGTTTTCAGTGGTCAAAGCTGCCGGCTCAGTTGTGTTAGATCAAACCTACACACGACATGATCTTTCTGCTTTCATCAAAATAATAAAAGTAGTGTGGCACACTTGTGCCACAAGCTCCACCCTTGAAATTGATGCCATGATGTAAGTTCAAAAGCAGCAGGGTTTGTGTCACAATAATGTGACGCTGTTTTTGACATTCTCCCCCTTACCTTCTCCTTCAGATGCTGCTGAATTCACACATTAAAAACTATTGCAGTACATCCTTGATCAAATTCCATGCTTTTACTTCTGTAGTTGATCATTTCTTCCATCTCTCTCATTCTGTAGTCAAGCACATTGGAAAATAAATGCTAATCAGCATCCAGCAGTGTAAGATTTGGTTTCTCAATAGATTGTATCATAATATGGAAAACTTTTCAAGTGAATTTGTCAAAACCATACCTTTTACTTTGAATATATTTTTCTTAGTGTTCCTTAGTTCCATTAGATGATTGTTGAATTACCTCCCTATATTCTATATTTTGCAACAATATGCCAGGATGGTAACTTTATGCTACAAAGTTTCAGATTAATCAGTTTCATATTAATCAGGACTTCTCATGTGTATATTAAAAGCAGTTGACTTTTTACCTAGATAGTGAACACTTTCAGAACTGTTTGCTCTGAACTGTAATATTCATTTGCTACTAAAGAACTTATACAAATTCATACATACCACTCTAGCATCTACTAAGTGACTATTACATAGTATATTATTAGTACAGATTATTATTATTATTATTATTAGTAGTAGTAGTAGTAGTAGTAGTAGTAGTAGTAGTAGTATAGATTATTATTTTGGCATCTCAGTTGCCTCTGCATCCATTCTCAGTTTGCCACTATAGTTTGTTGCAAAGCAAAAAGAAGTTTTCCACTCATGAATTTCTGTTTTGGGGCTAGAGATCACAGTTTTTCTTGACAAAGCTCTTTAGCTTTGAAAGAATATTTCTCAGTCGGCCTTTGTTCACCTTCAAGTGAATTTTGATAGCTGCACAAAAGAAAATGATGGAGAAGAAATTTATCAGTCTTATAAACTTAAACTAATCCCAAAGTTTCACAGCATTGCTTGATTCAGAGGGTTTTGCTCAGATTGTATCTGCGGTCAAAGTATCATTCAATAAGCAGCCTGTCCATTTTGCTCAACAAGACAGCTACCTTATTTTTATGTTCTTGAAACAGTAGGCAACAATCTTTTTATCTTCCTAGGACTTTTAATATGTTGTAAGTCTAATATTATTTTAGGTCTTTGAATTTAATTCATCTGCTGTCTTTTAGACATTATTTCAGTTACGTTCATCTGGTTCTGTTTTTACATGTTACCTCATATTAGGATTCTTAATTCTTTTTTTTACAATGTACCAGACTAATACGGGATAAATTAAATGAATATTAACTTTTGGGGGGTTTTGTTTCCTGCCATGCAGTACAGCTACATTTAGATTTTTAGGTTAAGGAATAAATAAAGATAAGAAATTTCACAACTATTTTCACATATATATATTTGTATTAAAGTGTATATATATATATAGAAAAACTAATACAAAACTAATAAAGCTACAAACAAGAAGAAGAAGAAAGAAAGAAAGAAAGAAAGAAAGAAAGAAAGAAAGAAAGAAAGAAAGAAAGATGACTTCCCCCTTCCTCCAAACAATATGCAATAACAGTAATTTAACA